GTCTAGTTCAGTCCTCACTGAGGGAACACTGCAGGTAATGATGTCCTGAGAGCGCACGCTGTAGCTGCACTCACACAGAGACATGTAGGAGGAGATGTGAGGAGATGAAAAACATGCACGCTAGACTGCCTTCAGGCCAAGGTCAAGAGGTGTGTGATCTCATTGGAGATTTGTCTTGTTATATACGTTAATGAGGCCTCAGTGAGTTCAGATTACCTTGACAGTTGGGGTAGGAGTAGAATCCAGATCTGCACTGTTCACAGCGAGGACCCTGAAACTCCGGTTTACACAGGCAGAGACCGGAAGAATCACAGACAGCAGGCAGAGAGCCGATCATGCTGCAGCCACACACTGTAGAGAGACACATGCCAGTATTGAGCCACTTCTTGGTTTACATTTAATGCTTTCAAGTATTAATAGTATCACCCAAAGGTTAAGACTTTTCAATTCAAAAGAAAATTGAGTTCCCCATTTAATTGTTGCATTATTTCCAAATATCCACTGTCTGAACACAGTCATTCAATTATTCTGTCAGGAAAGTCTGGTCTGTTTCCAGTTTCTTTAAATGTTGACATTAACAACTATCAAACATTATTGTTCTTGTTTTTTAACACCTCACTAGACATCTAGAGGTGCTTGATGTCTTGTTCACATCTACACAAATTACTTTGAAGAGCAACTGGGAATTTATTTTAAGGAAGTAAGAAAGATGCAAAATGCATGTATGTATGTACAGACCCTTTCCAAACAAATAAAATATCATGGAAAAGTTGTTTAACTTCCATAATTCCATTCAAAAGGTTAATCATTAATAGATGGTAGATTCAGGGCCCACAATTTAAACAATTTCAAGTATTTATTTGTTTATTTTTACATAATTTGGGCTTCCAGCTCATGAAACCCACGAAAACAGGACTTCAAAAAATTAGAATAAATGGTAAATGGACTGCACCCAAATCATGACTGTGGATATTTCACACTGGACCTCAAGCAGTATGGGTTCTGTTCCTCACCCTTCTTCCTCCAAACCCTTGGACCTTGATTTATCAATGAAAGACACTTTACTTTCATCTGAAAAGAGAACAGAGGAACCCGACAGTTGTAGTCCATCTCCCGGATGTGTCTGAATGTGGTGGTTTTTGAAGCTGTGACTCCCGCCTCATTCCACTCTTTCTGGATCTCTGACAGATTCTGGATCTTCTCTGTTTAATAATCTGCTGAAGCCCACGGTCATCTCTTTTGCTGGTGCATCTTATCCTGCCACATTTTGCCCTTCCACTAGACTTTCCATTGATGTGCTTGGACACAGCACTCTGTGAACAGCCAGCCTCCTTAGCTATGAACTTTTGTGGCTTACCCATCTTATGGAGGGTATCAATGATGGTCTTCTGGTCAGTTATGTCTGCAGTCTTGCCCATATTGAACCAAACTGAGACAATTGAACCAAACTGAAGCAAATTTAATGACACCTGGGGAAACCTGTGCAGGTGCTTTGAGTTTAGTAGATGATTAGTGTCACACTCAGTTTAAAACATTCATGTCCTGCAACATTTGGCCTGATGTCTCCACAGTATTCTAATTTTTTGAAATCCTGTTTTCGTCGGTTTCATGAGCTGGAAACCCAAAATATGTAAAAAAAATAAATAAATAAATACTTGAAATCATTTAAATTTGGGCTCTGAATCTATCATCTATTAAAGATTAACTTTTTGAAAGGAATTATGGAAGTTAACAACTTCACCTTGATAATCTATAGTTTTGGAAAGTGTCTGTGTATATATATATATAT